TCTTTCCCTGCCGCGCGCTACAACTCATCTCTCACCTCGCCCTTAGGCCTGGCACGCACCGCGCCGTCGCCCGAGGGCCTAGCCACCGGCGTGGGCCTAAACATCTCCGGCCTCCGCCTTCCGCAGCGACGCACCCCGTCCTCCCCTACCCTCCTCGAGCCACTACTATCGCCGCTGCCGCCGCCGCCACCACCACCACCACGCCTCCTGCGACTTTCGGGACCCCGTTGATCGCCCGTCGTCCCCCCGGGTTTCACGGCCGTCGAACGTGTTGCGGTAGCGGCGGCGGCGGCGGCAGCGGCTACCCTTCCTAGCGCTTCGGGGCTCTCGCGGCACCAAGTGTCGGGCCGAAGGTCTTGCGCGGCGACCGCTAGCCCGGTGAACGTCTGGCAAGTGTCGTCTTGCGCCCTGCCGTTTCGATTTTTTGTTTTTTGTTTTTTACGTGCCGGCGGTTCGAGTTGTATGTCGGTTCAATGGGGTTACGCCGCTCCCTCGTCCGCCGCGCGCATGTTGAACGAAATACTTGTACACAGGAGGAGGGTATACCGCTGCTCTCGTTAGTATCGATTTATCGTTCGTTCATGTGTCACCGTGTTGTGTTTTTGCTCCCTCTGGGTTAAGCTGTTGTGTGCTCTCCCTCTGTCTGAAGCACGCAGCTCAGCTTTGCACCGCTTCTTCTTGGGTCGCCTCTTTTCGCGATCGGGCTGTGAGGAACGCTGGAAAATTTCGCATTGCTTGCGCTGCGTCAAAATCGCACTCCTCAAGGTGGAGGATCATCCCAATTTTCGCAGTTTTCACGAGCGAGCATGTCAGCGAAACGACCATCATCCCGCCAGAAACCCGTGCTTTTGTCGCTATACTATGGTCGCCTTGTGGCCAACATACAGCACCCCAACCCACACATTTTCCACGGCGTCTCACCGATTGTCCGCCCCGCACTCGGGGCAGGTCCAGCCCTCCGGCGAGGCGTTCTCTCGCGACGCCGCCGCCGCCGCCGCCGCCGCTTTCGTCTTCGCCAGCAGGCTAGCGTTCCTCTTTCGGCTCGCCATCCACTCGGAGTACAGCCTGTCTCCGGCCCCCCGATACAAAGCCCCCCCCCCCCTGTTTTCTTGCTCTCCGCCCCGCGCATGTCCCGGCTCTCCTCTCTCGGCCGCGATACCTTCTCGGCCGCCGCTGTCGCTGACCCCCCCGCCATAGCCGCTGCCGCCGTTTGAGGCACCGCTCCTACCGGTTGGTCGACGGTAGACGTACTTGGGCTGGTTGTCCGTGAGCTCCCGCGTCTTGGAGCAAAGGTTCAACCGGCCCGAGCAAGCCAGCGCCTCCTGGAAAAAGAGAGGACGAAACGCGGCGAGAACTTGTCTTACCAGAGAGTATGTAGGGAGGCGTTGTGCGTGTTAGTTGTTTGGTGACTCGGGGTGGATTCAAAGATGCAGTACGGAGTCGGAGTGGTGTGCTTTCGTTGTCGGGGCGTGAGAAGGAGGGTGCCCTCACTGCAGCCCGGCGTGCTGTTCTGATACGCTGCGAACCCCCCCTCCCCGCCCTGTTCCCCGCGCCTCTCCCCCCCGCAACGTCGGTGAGAACCACGACAACATGTGCCGTGTTCCCTCCCGCGGAACCTGCTTTTCTGCCTGGCACCCTTGGAGCCCGTACGAATGACAGACTATGCTACGAGGGTAAATCTGGCGTCTCCATGTGGAGTGGATTCCACACGCTTCCCCTGTCCCAAAACTACCCACGGGTCTTGCTGCCTTTGTCTTTTGCAAGATACATGCGTGGTGTGTGATGATTGTAAACGCACAGGGACGGCGTAAATAAGAACTACCCTTTGGCTGCGAGTGTCTAATACTGCCGCCCGAAAAACGTGAGGGTTCGAACAGTTTTGTCTTCGTGTCATCCCATTAATGGACGTCGGTCATTTCACCTTTCGGCACAATTTCTCGGTGCATAGGACGGGGTCACACTGGACGAAGGCCCCGCAGGACATGATGCCAGGTCGTGTGACAGCACCAAGATTCGAGCCCACATCCCGTACGTCAGAAGGATGCGAGGCTACCGACTGAACCACGCAGTCTTTGAAGCTATGTGACCGATGGGAAAATTAACCTCCAAAAGAAAACCAATACCTTTGTGAAGGAAAACAACCAAACATGGTTTTGAAGCTGGTCGCTGACACACTTAGCATTCACCCGTGCGGGGGGGGGGGGGTCCGTGGTAAGTGAAGTGAAGCAGTAAACTTACTCTAGCTTTTTGGACCTCGTCTCGCCGTTGCCTCGTGGCCTCTTTCCTCTTCGCCATGGCTCGTCCCAACCGGTGCATCCTCTCGGAGACTCGGAGCTGCCGCGCCGCTTCCCTCGACGCCGGCCTCCTCCCGAGGGCTCCCCTGCCGCGCCACCCGGCACCGCCGCCGACGGCACCGCCTCCAAACCCCTGCCTGTTTGCCCTGTAACTACCGCCGCCGTGGCCGACCTCTGGAGCCGAGCGCCATCCACCGGACGACTCCTCTTCGCTCCCGCTCCCGCACCGCCGGATCCACCGACCCCTCAAGCGGTAACCTGCGCTTCTTCTCCTTTCCGCTGGTGTTGTCGTGGCCGTTGCCGGCTCGTTGTCGCCGCGTCGCCGGCCGTCGGGTCGTGTGGTTTCCCCTGCCACTCGACGGGGAGACGCAGAGGCGACGAGTCGCCCGAGAAAACCCTCGCCGTGTCTGACCCCTGTCTCTACCCCGTCTCTGCTGCGCCGCCGATCTCTTCTACCAGAACGATGGCTGCTACCGCTACTGATCGCTCCAAGACCGGCACCCCCCCTCTCCTGGCGCGGCCTGGTCCAAGAGGTGCGAGCCCTGTGGTAGGCGTTTCTCTCGTCTTCGGTTTCGCCTCCTTCGGGAAACCCGCCGGCTTCAAAGCCAACACCCCATTCGTTCGAACTGGCCGCTAGATCTGATCTCCAGCCGCTGGCTGCGGAATGCAAGCGGTCTCGGTCTTCGTCGGTAAAACGCATGGACCCTGCTAGCAAGAAGAACCCAACGACAACACATGCGCGGATCGTGTTCGCCAAACCCCGACGGCGCGCAATAGCAAGCACACGGGAGGGAGGAGAAAGTGGAAACGTTGCACACAAGGTGGGCATAAGGTTGCTCGATGTTCCGGGGAACTGCAAGCATCGACGGAAGTGTAAATGCGAGCAAGTCCCTCGTCGATCGGCGCCAACAGGTCGGGATTTCAACGTCCTATGATGGATGTGACCTGCTCGAAGAGCTGCGAAACATGTCCTTGCGTGGAACGTCGTCCCCTTGACTGTAAGGCATAAACCAACCGAATCCAGCGGCTGACAGTCTTTGATTCTTACTAGCGTACGTATGTGGCGCTCTTCATTCATCGAGCCACCCTTTGCGCCGTACCGTGGCAGTACCTTGAGGGTTGTGGTTGGCCCACTTCGCCTCCACGCGCACATTATGGAATACGAGCACCGTGCTGTAGGCTAGACCTGGTCAGCGTCTTAGTGGGGTTGCAGCCCAAGCGCACGTTTAGCCTTGTGCGTGTTTGTGCTCACCCGAAGTCGACGCCGATCGCATGTCGTCGTCGTCCTCTTCGCTGTAGTAGTCCTGCCAGCTACACCGTCGCCGTTGTTGCCACTGCCGCCGTCGCCACTCGAACCGCCGCCCGTTGCGCCTGGTTGTGTCGTCCCTCGATTTCAAGAAACTAGCCTCTTCGTCGTCGTCGTCGGGGTCGTCGTCTTCCTCTCTGTGGAGACATGTTTCGCGGTCAGCATGCCTACTTGTGCCGTCCCTCGATTTCAGGAAACTAGCCTCCTCATCGTCGTCGTTGGGGTCGTCGTCTTCCTCTCTTTGGAGGCGCGTTTCGCGGCCAGCATGCTCTTGTTCTGCCCCTGCCGCCTCGTGCGCTACACCCGCGGCCACTGTGGACAGTGGTTGGAGGCTTGCCGCGCCGTTGGTGTGATGTACGTTGCTCCCGGCGTGCTCGGCTTCGCCCTTCAGGCAGTCGGTGGTGCCAGACTCGGTCGCTGTTGCCGAAGTTGTACCGACGCCACGACCACCCCTCACTCGCCTTGCCCCCCCCCTATCCCGATGTTGTTGCCTCGGCCCCGATCCTTCCCAGCTGCCGCTGTCGCTTCGTGGGTGATCTCGAAAATAATTTGGCTGGTGTGCTGGCGCCGGAGGATTGATCGTGGGCTCCGACACCCAACACGACCCGCTCACATCAACGTGGTAGCCGGTCTCGACAACCTTGGCCTGGATCTGGACTCCCACGGCGCGTACGTGTTGCACACCAAGCCCGTGCCTTGTGAATCGGGGGGTCAAAATGCGCAAGTTGAGAAAAAACCTTGGTGGTGGATGAGGGTTAACGGGAATGAACGGAAATGCGACACCGAGAGAGATATGGAGATCCCATTCATGAAGGGTACAGTCTCCCCCAACGTCTGTCGAGGACGGTTCCCTCTTGTTACATTTGCGTACATAGACGATGAGATGTCTGCTTTTGGTGGAAGAGAAGCTGGGTTTAAATCCGTCATCCTCGGGCATACCATAACGCAGATTTTTCGAATTTTCTTCGGGGAGATTGTATCGTTTATGAAGGGGACCTCCACAGAGAGGGGGGGGAAGGTGTGAAGGAGCGGACGGCATGGCGGGGAGAGCAAGCATCCCATGGCCTTTTGCCGTATTGTACGTTCAGTGTACAGTTTCTCGGCTTCCCCCTTTGTTTTCCGTGTGTGTTGTGTGTGTAAGCTCCTTCAACATGGTACTTTTTAATTCGGTGAGTGCTCTACACGCGTGTAGATGTCGCTTGTTGTTCGCCTAGGTTCCTCCTTGTTTGTGGTCCTCGGGAAAATTGGATTTGTGATTGAGCACAGCACGACCAAATCTATTTACGTACTATATTTTTTACATACCGGGAAGAAGTAGACTAGTAGTGTGTGGCGATAACGATTATGAATGGAGACTTCTCGGCAAGTCGGAGGTTTTAGTCTATACGGCCTTTCAAGTTGCGAGCCCATCAGGCCAATGAAAAGTTGACAGGCCACAATATTGACGGGTGGAGAGACTGCAGCACTTTCGACAACAATGCAGAATACGATTGATGATAAAGCATGAGACATGCGACACTTCCAAGGCTGAGATACAGAACTCTGCTGCGGCACAGCCTCAGAACCGAACTCATTGATGGCAGACAGCGACTAACCCGCTATTGAAGACAACGAAACCTGTTCAAGAGAATAAAGTCAATGTGTGGTGCCAATACCCAACTCGCCTCACGATGAACCCTCTGGCCAAATCAAAGGCGTTATCACCGTCTCGGACGTACACTTCCTCGACGGCCCCACGCCTGCTCTGCACGTCGATGATGAGCATAAGTCGTCGGCGTTGGTGGCTCATGCTTGCCCGAGGCTGCTGCTGCTGCTGCTGCCGTTGCCGTTGCCGTTGTTGCTGCTTCTGCGTGACCGGCCTTTCCTCGCGACGCTGCTGCTGTGCGTTGTCCTTGTCAAACATTATCGTACCGTAGTGCAGCGATCGGGATTGCGAGCAATATTCCTTTCATCACAGCTGTCATGCCTTTCATTGGCTGGCTGCTGCTGTGGGAGAGATTATTCGCCTTCGTTCAGGCCATCACTGGTGTAGGTGCTATGCATGCGTTTCCGCGACGTGAACAATTACTGCGCGCGGTGACTATATATCACCCGTCCTGAGCCCATCTCGTCTCCAACTGGGGGTCGGATGCTCCGTCGCTGCTCTCTCTCTCTCTCTCTCGGTAGCTCTCGTGAAGGGGCCCAGAAGAACTCGGTTGCCAACTCCGGGTGGAGTCGAATCTCTCACCCCCTAGGTGTCGTACGGTGCGGCTTGGTACAGCGGTAGATATTACCCGTGCACACCACACCACGCGAGTCGCGCCACACACGACGAGGATCTTGCGTCGGACGGTTTCATTTCCCCCGTTGATCATCAACCGCGGGGGCCCCGCACCTGTTTGAACTGTACCCCCCGTTGTTCAGCACCTGCACATGGCATTATACTCCCGACTGCTGTCAGCTGTCCAGGGTCATATCCACAGACACCCAGGCCCAAGCTTGCTCACCCGAACCAGCAACCATAGGGCCTCTCTACGTACAGCAGGCAGCCTGCTTCCTTCCTCCGCTGCTGGACGATTCGGATCAGGGGGGCGCAGATTGCTGAAAATAACCCTCGTGCTCGCTCCCTTGGTTGCCCTATTGTTCCCTGCCACCCTGCGGAGACGGAGAGAGAAGAGGATGGGCAACTGCGGTGCAAAGACGGCAGTAGCGAAGCAACAAGACATGGAAGATGCGTTTCCGTCCGAGCTGACGTTCAGGAAGAAGGCGGAGCTCCAGGACGTGCTGGACGCGGACGGCATCGCCAGAGAGGTGCGATATGGTGTGTTCTCACACGATTCTTTGGTACCCTCCCGCCGCGACTCGGAGAGACTCGGATGTGTGTTGGAGACTCAACCATTGTTGCTGGATGCATACAAGACTACTGTATATACTACACTAGCAGGCCCGCCGAGGATCCGCCTCTCTCCGCCCCCTCTTTGCTCAACGCTGCTCCCGTCCCTGCCCCGGCGTCATGCCCCCCGCATTGATGTGCCTGCTGCTGGGTGGTGTGCACCCCCTGTTCTTTCACAGCCTTTGCCGTGGCAGGTCTGTTCGCCCTTTTCCAAGTACACGCGTGTGCATATGCCCAGAGAAAGGCTCTTCGTGTGTAACAAGTACCATGTACCACCGTATGCGTATGTACATAGCATGCATGTCGCGTGGTTGCAACGCACACATCGGAGAGCACACACACTTAACGACTACTGCTTGTGCGGAACACGGCTTGCTATGTACACGTAGCTCTCGACAGACATGCTACATACATACGGGGTCTGGCCTTCCATTTGCTTTGACCTAGTTGAACTTTTTTTTTTTTCAGGAAAAGACGAAAAATCGTGCTACTAAAAAAGTTCTCCAGTCGGTTTCAATCCACTTACAGAAGTGACTCCAGCACATTCCTTTCGACCTGGGTTTATATCTCGAACGGGTAGTCTTCCTGTGAGATGTCACTTTCTACAAATAGAGTACACAGCAGTTCTTTCTGTGGTGATACGACTCTCCGTGTAATATAATAAATACGTACAAACACAGAGAGACCTGTTCGAGATGTACCCACAGTCGAACGGGATGTGCTGGGACCTTTTCAGTAGGTGGAACACCGGCTGGGTACTGGACTTTATTCGAGTCTGTTTTAAGCCTAGATGCACTGATGGTTTATATCAGTGATACCAGCTGCCTATGCGCTAATGGTTTACATATCATACCAGCTGGTGCTGAGCTAAAAAAACATCTGCACAGGTAACCTACATTTTACGATACATCCCCTGTTGTTCTCTACTGGGTCAACGACAAATTTATCTCGGAGAACCCCTCCGTTTTGTCGTGCGTCATTAAATGTAACCTTCACAGGGAACACGGCGCAAGTGTCTCTTGACAACTTGCTACATTATTTATTTTTCCTAATACGTAATTGTGCATGATGTACGTAGAGTGTAGCAGAGAAGGTTGAAGGGACCATACTACCGGCGTGTTGATGAGGGCCCGTTCGAAGCTGGATCTAGAAATCAAGAGCAAGAGGTCCGTTGAGAGCCATGTTAACTGTTAACGGGAAAACCGAAAACGAGTGTGGCCTTTCTCCCGTCTCCCTCTATCCACGTAGCAAATGCACCGCTATTTACTGCTGCTGTATTGTGCAACAAAGCAGTACCGCTATGGCGTCGCATACACCCCGCATACGGCGGTGCTGTCCTGGCACCAACCATAGGGGGAGACGGAAGCAGTACATCCTAAACATCCCCAACCCAGCGAACGAATCACGTGAGGATGAGTAGGTGTACGGTAAAACGCCTCGTCGATCCAGACATGCCTTACTTTTTGTGCCTGCTGAGGGCCCCTTTTATCACCCCTCTACAAGAGATGAGGAGCGTGGTCTGGTGAGGTTTTGTGTTCTTCAACCAGCCCCGACATAGATTTTTCGTGTATCCCTCTCTTTCTAGCTGAACTTTGATCCACGGAAGTCCGTCAAACTTGAGCGCTTAGCCCGGCCGGCGGGATGTGTTCCTGCGGTGCTCGTACTCAGCAGACTTGTCATGAAACGCACGCGGGGCTTGTCAAGGCCATCCCATCTCATATGGGCGATGGAGGACAAGGCAGCATCTTTGTGCACCCTCTCGCCCTCCCACATAACCTTGACCCTCTTCGAGCACTTATTTACGGCTCGTCCTATTGATCTCCCTGTCCAATTCATCGCAACCCATGGTTGCTGTTTTTCCTTTTGCCGCGTTCCCCTACCCCCCCCCCCCCCTTTGACAGGAGGGAGACCCGTGGTTGGTGGTAGAGGCGGCGTGGGTCCAGAGATGGCTGGCCTTTGTGCAGGGGGACGACTCGGTCAAGAAGCCCGGCCCGATACAGAACGAGACGCTCCTGGTGAGAGCGTTTTTACTAGAGAAACAAAGAAAAAACGAAGAGACGAAGGATGGGGGGCCAAAGAGTTGAGATGGAGGGCCAAAGAGTTGAGATAGATGGCCAAAGAGTTGAGATGGAGGGCCAAAGAGCTGAGATGGAGGGCCAAAGAGCTGAGATGGGAGACGACGAAGCTTCCATCTCGCTTGATTTAATCACGCTCGGTCACGCCGTGCTGTTGTGTGATGGTGTGTGTGTGTGCGTTTTTTTTTGTAATTTCGTTTGCGTGGATCGACCACACGTCCTGCTGGAGGGAATCCACAACGGCAATGGACACGAGGCCTTGGCATTGGTTATCGGGAGTGCAGTATTCCCTCCTCTCGCGGACGCGTTGTCAATGGCAAACCGCTAAGGCATGCAAAACATAAGAGTCCCCCCCCCCCCCGCATATCCACAAACGCCCGGTCCCTTGCCCTTGCTGTTTTGTTTTGTTTTGTGTTTCAGGTCCACGACCCGGCCTCCAAGGCGTGGGTGCCCAAGCCCCTGCTGCGCGCCGCGCGGAGAGAGCACATGGGTCACTACCGCAGGGTTAACCCGCACGTCTGGAAGAAGTGGGCGGGGACCTACCGCGGCAGCGGTCCTGCAATCTGGGTGGTGAGTTTGGAGTCGTCGCCGTTGTTGTTGTTGTTGGTGAGTTTGGTGCTGGTGGTGCGGATGGTGTTATTGCCTTTTGTGGTTGTGCGGCTGGCGTTGTTTTGGTCGTTGTTCCTGTAGGTGTACAGGTTGTTGCTGCTGATGCTGTTGCTGTTATTGTTGTTGGTATCGTTGGCGGTGGTGGTGTTGACGTCGGCGTTGCTTCGTGGTGGCGCTTGGTGTCGTCGGTGGTGATGGGGATGGGGATGCCCTGCTAGAGTCGTGTCGTAGAACCTGCGGGGCTGGTATGCTGGGTTGTGTTCTTGAAGTGGGGTGTAGGGTCGGATATGCCACGACCCCCCCCCCCCCCTCCCAACTTCAGCTGTGCTTTTTAG